CATCAGATGAGTGTATACGAAAAATGTGTTATATCTACACAATGAAATACTACTCTGCTATAAAAAAGGATGAAATACTGTCATTTGCAAGAACATGGATGGACCTAGAGAAAATCATATTAAGTGAAACAAGCCAGGCACAGAAAGAGAAATACCACATCTTCTCACTGATTTGTGGGAGCTAAAAATAAAGAAATAAGTACACAAATAAACTGGAGGTGGAGTGAAGAAGAGACAACAATCACAATTTCTTGAAGGTGTCATGACAAGCGAACAGATATGAGGTTGTCAGGAGGGAGGGGGGGAGCGGAAGGGTGGAGGGAGGTTTCGGTAAAGGGCCACAATAATCAACCACATTGTATATTGATAAAATAAAATAAAGTTTAAAATTAAAAGAAAATAAAACACAAGAAGTCTATGGATTTTCTCCTCTTCTAATAGTGCAAAAGTCCTGAAGCCTTCAGGAAGAGAAAGATTGTTGGATGGTAGACGCCTAAGGGAAGTTTGAGAAGTTTAAAACCCACAAATTTTGATACTGGATATGAGAANGAGCGGAAGGGTGGAGGGAGGTTTCGGTAAAGGGCCACAATAATCAACCACATTGTATATTGATAAAATAAAATAAAGTTTAAAATTAAAAGAAAATAAAACACAAGAAGTCTATGGATTTTCTCCTCTTCTAATAGTGCAAAAGTCCTGAAGCCTTCAGGAAGAGAAAGATTGTTGGATGGTAGACGCCTAAGGGAAGTTTGAGAAGTTTAAAACCCACAAATTTTGATACTGGATATGAGAACTATGTTTTCTCTCAGCAGTGCTGTAATGCCCTGAGCTTGTCATTATCTTAGCTGTCTTTGCCTTTTGTAGTTCTCCATTTATTCCTTCATATCCTCCTCTAAACCTCAAACTGTTTTCAGAAAGAAGCCAGCAGTTTTGAACTTGCTGAAAATAAAATAAATCACATAAACCAGTTAAAGGACCCATCTCAAATATGTCTCATTCAGAGGATCCTGTTTATAATACAACAATATGCATCCTCACATGCACTGCAGGAGGCTCTGGTGTATGTGGTCAATAAATCACCACAGGCATAAGCTGTGCCATTCCCATCTTTGTGCCACCTTCCCCATCAAAATACCCACTAGAGTGCTTGGAAGACTGTAGGTGACCAATGCATATTGATTAAATTACTAAATTTTTGAATGCATAAATGAAAGTCTACATTGATGAATGTATTTAAAGAGATAAACTTAGCAGGTAGAGTAATGTAGGAAAAGTTGAACTTTGTGCCCCCTTAGAATGCAGGCATAACTGAAAAATATAAAACAGAAGAATTATAGAAAAAAAAAATCTGGCTAATTTAATTATAATACTTTTTTCTTTTTAATTTATTGTTTCTTAATTGACTCATGAATATTGTATATATTTATGAACTAGGGTACTTTAATGAGAAAGAAGAAACCATTAAATTTGTCAAGGATGCCATTTATTTAATCCCTTGAAATAGTCAACGCATTACTAAAATCTAAGCTAATGATTGAGTAAGTAATAGTTCATTACTATATTCAGCAAATGTAACATGATCCAAAATAAATGACCAATGCAAAAAAAATTTATAGTATTTAATGCTATCCATCTCTTAAGATTAAGATTAAGTAAACTAGATAATTTATCTGATTGATTTTTCCCTTCTTTGGGGCTGAATATATGTTGTTTTTTTCTAATGCTTAGAATCCTAAGACTCTCCCTCCAAAGCCTCAATCCCCTGAAGTGCCCCAACTAAACTCATATAAGACCCAGGGATTTTTCTGGAGCATCTGCTATCAGGGAC